TTCGGACATGTGTTGTGTGAGGTCGCGAGATATTTCTAGCTCCGTGATAAGCTGGTTGGCCTGACGCAACTCACGCGTGAGGTCGAGAGAGTCCAGCCGTCGCTTTTTCAGCAGAATCTGGTCGATTTTTTGAGTCAAAATTTTGTCCTTGGCTTCTTCCCGGTTGAAATATTTGGAGCCTTTTGATGCATTATAGATGATTTCGGAGACCTGGAGAACGGGTGAGTCAGCGCACTTGTTTCATGACTGACGGTCCGAGGGCTATTCACCTTGTTTTGGTCGACTGAGTCCTGACCTGCCTTGGTTAACGATGGACCGAGGAGATGATACTTCAAGGTATCGTGTTCAGCGACAGTCTTCGGGTCATCGGGTGGTGCAGCCATCTCGGCCCGGAGTGAAGGTGGGCAATTTAACTTTCGTGGGTAGGGATCGCGACGCCGCAGCGCATGGCAATCTGCGTGATCGTGGCCATCAACGTGCACCAACTAGCAGTCTCTGGAAGCAGTGCCACAGGTTGCCAACGCGACGTGTGCCAGAAGGCTGCCTTGCCCCTCAGACGTCGAAACGACGCGTTGTTCAGTGTCAGCAAATGCACGCGAAGTCACGTGGCTGCCCCGCACCTGCGATAAGATTGATTGGACCAAACACTGTGCCCATTGAAAGTCCCATGTTGGGCCCTGGTGCCCAGTTTCTCACCATGGTAGCTAGGGACCTAGGCGCCTCGTACAATTGCTCGACCTCTGAAGTGTACCAGCTTGAAAGGCAAAGATGCAAATGTTGACTTCGCCCCTAGTCATCAAGAAGCTTGACTTCAAGTCACATGCATGCTGGACGCTTTTGAGAAAGGTGCTCAAGTCAGAAGAGGAGGCAGTGGTTGCTTCTGCTCTATAAGAGAACATCTACGGCCCGATTTGTGGCAGTGGACACCAAATCGCCAACACACCCTGTTGCTCTTCAATCGAAAGCAAGCAACGGAAGACATAGCCAGAAGGAAAGGAATCAGCAGTGGTCATAAAGGAAAGATCTTAAATCGGTCGAACACACAAACAGCCCCGTCAAACCACGTCCATTACCTGACACGCCGTAGTCATCTCTTTCTCGTCTTCACCATCGTATGCGTCTCTTCGATATGGCGGACCATATTGTCCCTGCGCGTAAAGAATTCATTGCAACCAGAGAACAGACACTTTCCATCTTCGCGAGGAATGCCATTTTGAGGATCGGCGGCGTAAGAGGGGTGGACACATCGGACGTGGCGATACATATCTTTGTTGTAGGGGAACATTGGCGATTGGCACCTCCTGACCGGACAAGGGATTGTAGGGTTATGCGCAACCCTATAGTGTTTGCTGCAGAGGTAGTATGTTAGTTTAAATGAGTCCAAGATGAAAAGCAACGATGCTCGATCTCAGGGAATGAACCGCGAGAGCTGGAAGAGAGACAAGGGGGTACGCACTTTCGCTCGGTATTGCGCGGGAACGTCTTATTGCATCCGGTGTATTCGCAGATCAAGACATCCCCAAGCTCAGCATTTGATCGAAAAGAGCTTCCACGACGTGACGATATGGCCCTTGATACTCTTTCCTGGGCCTCTGCGCTTTCATTTGACGACTCAGGGGTACCACCCGAGGGGTCCATGGTGTCTCCAAGTTCTGGGTAATCCATCTCCTGCTGAGAATCGTAAGAATCGAAATTCCCCTGGCTCAGCTGTAAGCCATTAGGAGACTACGTCTCCGATGGTTGGATACCGGAACTCTGAGGATGACGTGAGTCAATCAAAGCTGGGTTCACAGTGATGTCCCACCCTTCATCGGAGTCGACTTGGTCTGTGTTCTGGTATGCAGCCAGGAAGGACTGCTGGGGGCTGATACTAATACCCTCAGAGTCGTACCATATAGCTTCGTTCACTGTTGCAGATCCGTATGGGTCATAGCCCGCCCAATTTTCATCCTGGTAGCCAACCAACATGGGATCCACGGCGCCGTTCCTAAAGGCTCCATCCATGCGTGATCTCATGCTGGTGCGTCAGGTTGTACTCAATGTCTATTTTCTGTGCAGGTCAGGTTCGTCACAGCCACCTGATTAGTGGGCCAGAAATCTTACCTATGCGATCTGTGATCGCAGCTGACGAGACGCCCTTGGTATACTAGAGACTTGCCTCGCTCGAACTCGCTTCGAGACGAAGCGCCTAATCTCCCGCTTGTCTACCGGAAACTCGTACAGAAAATTGTGGAAACGGTGTCATGCGAGGCTGAAGACGTAAGAACGGGTGTCAGACAAGGACATGACCACAATGATTGAGTCGGCACACCGGCTTGCTGCAACACACCTTTCTCCAACGCAGCTGTATTCTGCGGCAGCCTAGGTGGCACAAAACAATCAGTAGCGCCCTGCCGAGGCCTCAGAGCAGGAAACCAGTCGAAAAAGTCCGAGATCAAAACAGGAGTATTTGTCGCAATGAGAGATGGATGTCACGAGAGCCGGGCCGTACGAAGATATTAAAGCATCACTCCTCCAAGATTTTCAGAGCGACGAACTACCATCGTTGTTCCCGCTCGGCGAAAGAGCTTTTTCTAGTTTCTTCCATGGCGAAAGCTTCAGTGAAATTATATGCGTTGTGTGTTGTTCAATTCTTGTTTGTCGTAAGCCACAAACTGAGATCAGCAATGCGGGAGGGTCACCAGGCTGCGATTCGGCTGGCTTGGTATCATCTCTTCGGTGGAGGTCGAGCCTCCAATTGGGTGTTCTGCGCGCTCCGCCTCAATCGTGTTGGTTCCTACGCGGCTCCTTGTTTAACGGCTGACCTTAAAGGCCTGCTCGACGGCCAGCAAGCATGTTGGTTCCCTCCCGCATTAGTTGCTTTATCGCGCCGCTGCTGCAGAGATGTGATCCAGATACCAACATGGGTGCATGGGACGTGGTTCAGCGACTCGTGTCATTTGTCGCCTTCATGGTTCCCTCCCGCATGCGACTTATGGTGCAGAATGATGCGGGGGAGTTGATGACAGTGCATACTTTGGCATGTCGTGCGCCGGACTCGATAAAGCGACCGATGATGGCAGGAAGCCGCAGCATTTTGGGATTTTATAAATGAGCTTGCTCTCTCAGTGCCGATTAATGACTTTGGAGCTTTTTCAGAGTAGGCTCCTCAAGCAGGTACACGAATCTCAGTCTTGTCATTGAATTCCATCGATCACCGTGATCGATAACCCGTCGAAGACCACCGAAGCACCGAGCTGCCCAGGCCAACCTGTCGTCACTTTGATAACGCAGATATCACACGCCATGAGCGACCAACGATTCATCTCGCAGCAGCCAAGCATGCTCGAGCCTTCCGAGAGAGACAATGACACACCTGAACAGCTTGTGGCGGCCGCTCCGAGGCCCGACCGAACTGTGGCAGTCAAACCCAACCGGCAACGCCTGTTTTACCAGCCCATCGTTTTGGAGTACGCCCTGACGATGGCATGTCAACGGCGGAGCCCAGGGTATGACACGTACTCTGACAATCGTCAAGGCCCTTCATCTTCACCAGAGCAAGCGTTCCACTGCTTTGTGTGCAAGCTTGCCCAAGTCACTGACAACCAGCGAGGGGGCCCGACTATAACAGCGTTCGCTGTGTTGCGGGGCGTCGATGGACCTGAATACGTTTTCGGATCAAATCAGAGAACCCAAGAGCAGGTTGTCGAAGCCAGGGGTTTCGTTCTCTCGCTGCTGCAGTTTCTTGGCTCTCAATCTGGGATGAACCGCAGGGCTGGGAAACGTGCCTTGTTTCAACGTATCATTCGATTCAATGCTCCTAGGATCGACATGTATCTGGATAAGCTAGCCGATATCCTCGGCGGATGCTTGTCTGATTATAAAAGGAGGAATGTGAAGAGCAAGTCTCACTTGAACTTTTCCCTTGAATTTTCGCCCCTTGTCATTGTTGTTGGGCTAACATGGTTGGCAATAGACCTGACGCTCGAGCGAGAGCTATCTTCCTGGGGCATACTCCTGAAAATCATGTTCAGCTTCAGAGCAAATGGACGCAATCGAGAAGAATGTGAGTCCAGCTTAAGAGGCAATTTTGGGCGAGAGAGAAAAGTAACAGTCGGTGCAGATACCGATATCTGCGCCATCTTGATCAAGGCAATCAGAGGCTACCCAAACTCTGCCATGGGCAAAGAAATCACACTGAGAGTGAAAGACAGCAGCATTAATAATTCCGAGCCCTGGAGGGAGCTCCAGCATTGCCTTGGCCGGCTCGGATCGTATGGCGAAGCAGTTCGCATCCTCATTTCGGCGTCAACAATGTGGCCGGAGCTGTTCCAAGATTTCATTGTTACAGCCGTTCCATCGAGTGTGCCGCACGCGAAGCCTCTGGCCAAGTCAAAACTCACGGCTGCGCAAGTCATCAGCCAAATGATGCCACACAAGGACGCACCACTCTACCTGGATCAGGTCACCGAGCTGCAAAAGTTCGGCCTGGACAATCTTATTCAGCAGCAGGTTGCAACGCCAACCTTCAAGCCCATCGTTCATGCTGAAGTATTGGTCCATAATTACCTGCTCAGACGGGACATCAACATAGCCAGCCAGTACTGGCATGGCTGGAAAACCATCGGTGGTAGTAAGCCAACATGTCGCCTTTGCAATTATTACTTCATCTCGCATCCAGATCGACTCGACCAGGTCCGCGGCTCACACCGAAACCTCTACCCCAATTGGAGGCTTCCCGACGTTTTTGAGAGTGAAGGAACCAGGATGAACAAGGCAAGGTTGGAACTCCTCGATGACATTATTGCGAGGGTCCGCGATGACACCAAAAGAACGCTGCGGGAGAAGGTCCCGCTGGGGAAGAAGCACGATTCCAACACGTTTTCTACAGTACCAAAGTACCTAGACTCGAGGTCCCAGAGCTCGCTGCCAGGTAGTGAGACGTTGTCAGTCATTGCTCAAGTTGGCATGGCCATGGGCAGGATGCAAGTCAGCAGAGACGTCACAAAGGAAGTGAAAAGTGAAGACGAGGGGTGTATTGCTGCGAGTGATAGGGCATATCACAGCGATGGTGAGGACGGTGGTGCCACACTTGTCTGGCACTAAGTTAGTGAAGGTGTAGGCAGCACTCACTTCGTTGTGTGTGTCGGTGACGGACTCATGCAAACCAATGCAAACCTATGATTGTTGATATTTGATTCAATCCCGGGCAGGTAATGAAAGCTTTAGTGTGTTCATGGTTTGAATATCTGCCACATTTCCCATAGGTTCTCAATATGGCATGTGGGACCAGTCAAGCTCATCTAGTTGTCACCTCTACTCACAGTCGGGCAGTCTGTGGATCCATCGTGCTTGTTCAAGCAAGCCGTCGAGCTTCCAGCCATGTCCAGATTTTCGTCATGCAGACCACATTCTATTTCCTGTGTGGGTGATCGCAACTTGATCACCAGACATGCTCCCTTACAGATGAGACAGCATTGTCGAGCCCACACTCAAGACAGCACCTAAGACAGCATGAAACAGACACCTAGCTTATCGGAACGACGCCGTCATGACCAGCACACATTTTAATCAGGGGTCATGATGTAGACACTCTGACCAGTTTACATTCCATCCCGCCGTTGTTGTCGTCAGTCGGTAGGAGGACCGAAATCGACCGTCCCCACTGCAAGGGCACGTGACGTCATGAGTGACTTTGACGTGAACTGCTGAAGGCAGAAGCAAAATGAGCCGCGGAATTTTTATACGACAGACAGGAGAGGGATCAGAGACTGATGTGCCGGTAGTTTCAATTCCAGCGAAATCTGATCAGCACGTTGACTTATCCGGGAGGCAGCAGAACGTCTTCAATATGCTTCTAGCTTGATCAACAAAGGTTCCGTGGACAGGCTCGACACTCACCGAGGCCGTCTACACCGAGACGATCCACGGTGCAAATCCTCGGTCAACACGAAAAAGGGAAAGGCGCCCACACACGGAAGAAAAGCGGACCGCAGGCCGCTCCAGCTCATCTCGGCTTGCCAAAGCCACCACTTCCCACTGCCCGTGGCTGGTTATTTCCTAGTAGGGGGCGTTGTCGCAGCACGGCCAGAACAAGAGCCGGGGGCACGAGAAATTGCTGTGCAGCAGTCCTCCGGCGCCAAGACTCTGAATCAAGATTGAGGCCGGCGCCATCTGCAAGACAGGCAAGCCTGGCGTGGTCCGTCGCGATCGAGCAGAAGCCTGGGGATCAGGCTGTTGCGTATTCTCGAGGTCGCAGCTGCTGCAGAGCACATCCCCTCTCGCCTTTGGCAATCGTCAGCAGGTGAAAAGAAATTGAGGGGAGAGGCTCACGTGATGTTTCTTTGCCCTCAGATACTGGAACAAAGAACAGGACAGAGGTTTCCAAGGAGGCCTGTTCGTCCAGCCACGGCCTCCAGCTACAGTAGGGGCCCGCTAAAAACAAACCCCAAAACACCCCCGGCGCCACGCCAAAGCAGCTGAGAAACCCACGCCCAAGGAACGCCAACGGGGCCCCAGAGCATCTCCGTAACTCCGCCCGTCACTCAGAGCAGAGGTCCTCCCCCGTTGACATGCAACAGGGACCAGGGATGGCTCAATTCGCCGCATTTCCCGTTTGACTTTCACGAAAGGTTGGACAAGGGGCTCTTGAAATGTGGAAACAAGCACTGGAGCATTAGAGGGAGTTACGACCGACCCATCTCTTCACTGTACGACTCAGCGACCCACGTCTGCCCACGTCCTATTGATAGAGCCATTGCTGCATGCTCACGGCGAGGTAGCCTTGAAAGAAAAGGGTCGCGCGTGATTTCTTAATCGAGTCAGGAAAAAGTGCCAAGGTGCGGAGGTCAAGCCAAGGCCAACCAACAGAGGGCTCTTTGGCCCAACCTTACTGTGTGGGCCTTGGGGCAGGGAGGAGGGTGTGGCCAAGAACGAGTACAAGCAAGCTGGCGGGATGCCAGGGTGGGTTGGCCGGCTGGAGAACAAGTGAGCTCTTCTTGCTGTGCCATGTTTAAATCCAAGAAGGGCTCGCTCAGCCGGACTAAGGATTCAAGTTCTGTTTCGCCAGCCTGAAGAATCGCGAAAATGACCTGTTTAGGGGAAGGGCCGCGGGGGGAAAACGAATGAATAAAAAGGCTTGACTTGACGTCCACGTACCCAAATTGGGTTTGATGGCGCCGTGCAACACGCGTTGCACTGGCACTAGCGGTGGCTGTCAACTGTCACAGAGGACAGAAAAGAATGCTGCACAGCCTCACACCGTCTCTGAAAGGGGGGGCGGGGGGGGGCCTTTCGAACACTGGAACATGGCGTCGGGAGAGAGAGAAGGAAGAGGACGAATTCCCTGACTAGCCACCTTCTGTGGAAGGGTGTGGATATAGAGAGGATCCCCAACCGAGAGGCACAGGCAGGAATTGTTCGCCTGTTACCTTCGTTGCCTTCCTCTTCCAGTAATGGCCCCGCTGCTAGCAGCATACTGGTGGGGAGCCAGAGACTACGACACATGCACTGGTGAGCATATCAATTGGCCAGAGGGAGGAGAGGAGCGACGGGGAGTTTTTTCATCGACCTCCGCTGGGGAGGTACAGAACCAATTTGTGCGCCGTGTACGACGCCTGGAAGCTGAAGGGTAGCTAGCGGGTGGATATTGCCAGATTACGTATTGCAGCACACCTGCGCTCACTTGGCCCCACACGCCCAAGTACGAGAAAGATCCGACACTCGTTGAGGTTCGCAATCATCGTACTGAATCCACTGATCATCCGAGTTCAGATGGCAATTGCGAAGACGATGGCGAGCCCGTTTGATGCGAGCTCCGTGCGTCCTTGGATTCCATCAAATGCCTTTGCTCTTCGCTCGGAAGAGCCGGTTGATGAAATGTCTCGGCTTGATGCCTCGTCCTGCGCCGCCTCGCACTCGGGCTCGGAAACGAGAGAGAAGGACCCTGGGAGTCTGAGCCAAATGAGCGAGTCGTGTCGAGTAATAATACTACCATTCGGCAAACTCCAGGGATCCAGGCACCAGCTGCTTGGTTGCCTGATCGCCGTCGACTCCGAGGACACAACCGACTGAACGCGAAGAATTCTTTCCAGTGACAACATGACTGGGAACCCGTCCCGCGTGCGACTTTTCCCAAGGCAGTGTTCGGTTTCTGACCGAGAACGACGCGTCCGAACAGTGACCCACGCCGAGGCTCAATGCTGAGCCTGCTGCGAAGCAGCGTGATCCGAGCGAACGCGACGAGGCAAGGTTTGATTGTGCGACCAACCTGTTGCGGTTTGCGTATGCAAGGTTGCAAGGTTGCTTTATTTCTGTAGTGGACGACCAGCTCGCAATCTGCTTGGCGCGCAGGCAGCTAGATCTGGCAAGCAGGCCACTTGCAGAACGCATCCTTGAGAACACCATGCGTCCGTTCGATCGAACCATTCGCCAGGCCTCCCTCTCGTGACGTCCCACACCTTTGGTTCCTACATGTACATCGCTGAGCGATCGCACTGTGATCGGCTGCCTTGTGACAAGACTGCGACGCCGATTCGCCTCTTCGTGTTGGATAGCCTCAGTGAGATCGCCTTATTCGGGTGACTCGTACTGCAATCCACGCTTGCCGGCGGCGGTTGTTGGTTTTTCGTTGGACCTGCGGCGATTCATTTTGACAGGCCGACGTGTGTGGCTCGTGCTATTGTCACAGACCAGGCCAGGCCAGCACCGGCTGGTGTGGTGAACAGAGAAGAGAAATGGAGCAGCGCAGGCACCTGGAGCCAGTCATACTACTGGGATGACGGCTCCCTGTTTCAGGGTCCTGGAGATCGATAAGGGGAAGTGGGGTGGGTTCGCCTGCAAGAGGAGAACCTGTCCTCTACCCCTTGGCTTGCCACCAATGGGAAGTACCTTCGCATTAACGGCCCCTGGACCCGCTGAAGCTCAGCGCTGTCCGAGCCCCCCACCCGCCCCTGGAGCCCTTGGAGGACCGAATTGGCTCGTCCCAAGCTCGGGCTCGCACATTCTCGCCTGCTGCTGCGCCCCTATCCTGGCGTCGTCCGTTGCTCACCAAAGGGACGCCAGCCTGCTAACGACGCACCGTTAGCATGGGTTCTAGCGGTTAAATAATGTCAGGGGTGGGGGGAGAACAAGTCCCTGGGCGGCGGGCGAGCCAAAACAGCGAGTTGCGAAATGATCTGCCCCTCTTTAATGTGGCTCGTGTGGGCGTGCCAGTAGTGAGAAATGAAGCACGAGCAAGCCGGGAAAGCGTAGCATGGGCGGGAAAGGCGACGTTGCGCAGTCATTCAAGGTCAAATCGGATCAGTGTAGTAGGCATCCAATCCAACGGTGGACAGGGTAAGGGGGAAAGAGGGTCGGGCTGGCAGATGCCTCGCACTTCGCCGGCCTGGAACTCGTCCTGCCCGTGCTCCCTAGGTCGCTCGTCTGTCGATCCGGTTCCTGTTCATTCGCCCCCTCGTCCGTTTGTCGTTCGATGTAAAAGCCTCGACTGCTGTTTCCCTGTCGTCGCTCGTTCCCCTCGAAGCTGCTTCTGCCGGTTTTGCTGTTCGTTCCTTTCCTTGCGACCTTCCCAGCTGCTCCTGCCCCGCCGCTCAGTCGTCCCTACATCAGTCCGCCGACAGAACGCAGAAACGAATCTCCTCCGAGGCTCTTTCTGCCTCTTCCAAGAAGAACATCAGCACCTACACCAGACAGCAGTCGTCGCCTGCTACCTTCTTTGAGGTGCTGTATTCGCTTTTCGATACCGCCGAATCCAACTTCCCGAAATCTTTTCCTCGGGACAACAACAAGTCAGCTCGACCATTTGTCCCGTATTCCATTCTTTCCGACAACCTTTCTTGTTCCCGACGTCGATTAATCCTGAACGACGCATCGCGACAGCGCAGCCAGAGCAATTCTTGGCAGCCAGCAGCTTGAACATCGAACCCGTCAAACTTTCGACTTGTTTCGACCTCTGCGTCTTTTGCTGAAACACAACTTTTGTGCCGTTGAAAGCATCTGGCGACATCTGCATCGGCACCGAGATCAGCCACAGACCGGAAGAAAAGAACATCCGAAAAATATCCGTCGCCATGGGTCGCGACGATGTCATCCTGCCGCGGGCAGTCGAGGCTCTGATCGCCGAAGGCCAGACTATTGTCGTTTTCGAGGAGTACGTGCTCCGCCTGGACTCGTGGCTCGAGCGTCATCCCGGAGGACGCCTGGCCATCCTCCACATGGTGGGAAGGGATGCGACTGATGAAATCAAGGTGTAAGTAAAAAAGGAGTGAAACCGCATGGCGACCAGTGTTGTATTTTAGGCTCCCTTGACACGCCAGCCCTGGTGGTCGAGGTTAAGCTTAAATGCAAAGACCCCGGTGGTTCCGATGCACCCGAAGCCCCGGAAGTCCGTTCCAAAACACATGGCAATTGCAGTGGCATGATGTGATGGATGGGCGGACTGGAAAACCACTGGCCTTTTGTCCTGCTTGTGTCCGGGTCGACCGGTTCGCTCGGGCTTAGCGGTCCATCAGTGCGCCCTACCAGGCACGGGGGGATTACTCACCTTGCACAGCGGCTGCTGCTTCGATTGGACGATTCTCATTTGTTTGCTTACCCAGCATGAAACCAAACAAGAATTTGCTGACCGCTGTTGGTGCTATTAGATACCATGCTGCCTCTACGCTCCGCACTATGAAGGCGTTCCGGATCGGCCGGAAGCCTGCGGGTCTCTGGCCCAACATGCTACCGCCAATTAGAGGTGGCGTCTACCGCAAGGCCGACTCAACCCCTTCCTCTTTGGGCGACTCGATGCCTACCTGCCCTGTCATCGTCGAGCCCGCCGTTGCCGATTACTCAGATGATGCCGCCACGGACTCTGACTCGGACTCGAGCAGGGCCCGTGGTTCCGATGATGCTGGCCGTCTCAGCCCTGGCCTCGACCGGGCCTCCCTGGCCTCGTCCGTCACATCTGATTGTGGCAGCGACGATGAGATCGAGATTCAAGATGCAAAGGATCTCGATGCCTCCGCCCTGTCGGGTCTGCGGAAGCGGACGGTCCCGTCGTCCGTCAACGGTGCTGCCGTGAACAAGGGCATGCCTACCGGCGAATGGGCCCGCAAGCTGTCTCCCCTCGAGTACACCGACTGGGCCATCCAACAAGAGGTCGAACGGGAGGCTGCCATGTATCCCTCCGTCGACATGGCCACACAGCAAGACATTATCCAGAAGTACCGTGCTCTGCACCAGAAGGTCATCGACGAGGGCCACTACGAGTGTCGGTACACTGAGTACGGCAAGGAAATGGTCCGCTACACTTCGTTGTTCGCCGCCTTCTTCGTTGCTCTCCGCTATGAGTGGTATATCACGTCGGCCTGCTTCCTGGGTCTCTTCTGGGTATGTACTCTTCTTTTATGATGCCTTTGTTTTGCGACGGTTTCCACTAACACCTGACAGCACCAAATCATGTTCAGTGCCCATGATGCTGGCCACCGCGCCATCACTCACGTCTTCTGGATCGACACTCTGATCGCCCTGTTCATCGCCGACTTTTGCTGTGGCCTGTCTATGGGATGGTGGAAGAGCAGCCATAACGTACACCACCTCATCACCAACATGCCCGAGCACGACCCCGATATTCAGAACGTCCCCCTGTTCGCCACCTGCATCTCGTACGCCAAGTCCCTGACATCGAGCTACTACGATGGCTTCGTCTATGTTTGGGACAAGGCTGCCGATGTCATGGTTCCATTCCAAAAGTACACATACTACCCTGTCATGGGCATCGCTCGCTTCAACCTCTACCTCCTGTCCTGGTGCCATGTCCTCTCTAAGAGGTCGTCTGGCCTGGGCAACAGCAAGGCTTGGTGGATCCGTCCTACCGAGATTGCCTTCATGACCTGCTACTGGTTCCTTTTCGGCTACTGCCTCGTCTGGCGTTCCATCCCCACTTGGACCATGCGCGTCATCTTTGTACTCGTCTCGCACATCATCACCATGCCTCTACATGTTCAGATCACTCTGTCCCACTGGGGCATGTCCACTGTCGAACTGAGCGATGGCGAGTCCTTCCCCCAGCGCCAGCTTCGCACAACGATGGATGTAGACTGCCCTGCTTGGCTTGACTGGATCCATGGCGGTCTACAGTTCCAAGTCGTGCACCACCTCTTCCCTCGCGTGCCTCGTCACAACCTTCGTCGCGTGCAGGTCCATGTTCGCGAGTTCTGCAAAGAGACGGGCATCCCTTATTCTATCCTTGGCTTTGTCGATGGCAACAAGAAGGTCATCGGTCGCCTGAACGATGTCGGTGAGCAGGTCAAGATGATGCTCAACTGTCAAAAGTACATGGCCGAAACTGGCGAGAGCGGGTTGCATTAATTATGTCGGACCAATGTCTTCAGTAGCGTGTCATTGCATTGTTTTCTTTGGAGGCTTTCTGGGACTGGAGTAGGAGGAGTTTGAAAATACTGACTTGGCACGCACGGGCTACCCAACGTATTGGATAGTACCAGCCGGTCTTTCTTCCGCAGGCTTGCATCCTGCTGGCACGATGCCAATTTGCATGAAAGGGTGTTAAATACAGGCTTGCACAGCCACTTCTCATTGTACATTTCATACAATTCATGATTTAGATTCGCTTGGTCTGCTTGGTGCTATTTCGCGAAGCTGACACTCCGGGGCAATACGCTTGACGTGGCCTCTCGACATGTCCGGTGTCCGTTGTCTGTCATGGACGTAGATAGCCTTCCACTTAGCCTCAACCGGCCAGTCTTAGCCTCATGCAAATTCGACCCCGAATGTAAACTTTGGTGTCTTGGCCCCTCTTCCTCCGCGCTGATGCTGACGTACATTGACCTTGTTCGTCGGTGCTTGGGGGACCCGGCTTCCTCTGGGCCCTAGGTCGGTGAAGCAGATGTAAATTACGGAGCAGCAGAAACATGGGACCGACTACAGGACTTGAATCGTCCTGTCGGGAAGCTTTCATGCATGACGTGCACCCTGATGCAAGACAAGCTTTTGTGGGTTCAAGGACTAGGCTGTGTGATGCATTATTCAATAACTACTCCTGACTCTTATTTGCGCGATCGGGCTCATGTCTTCCAGCCGATCAAACGACCGATGCCCGACGCTCAATGTTCACCCACATGTCTTCAAAGTAACTGACGCCGCCCTTGACCAAATACTTTGCCGGGTTCTCCTTGTTTAAGATTTCCGGCTTGAACGTGCGGAAGAACTGCAGCGGTGCCTTGTAGAGCTCCATCTTGGCAATTTCCTGTCCGAGGCAGATGCGGGCGCCGTACCCGAACCCCATGCTGTACTTTTGATACTCCTTCGCCTTCTCGGCGTCCAACCACCTCTCGGGGCGGAACACCTCGGCATCGGCCCCGTAGATGTTGGGGTCTCGGTGGACGAGCCAGGGGTTGCATGTGACCTCTGTGCCCTCGGGCACAAACTGGCCGGCGAGCTCCATGCCGCCCTTTGGGGCGAGGCGGGGGAAGATGTTGGGCGCCGAGGGGTTGAGGCGCATGCTTTCCTTGACGCAGGCGATGTAGTAGGGGCAGTGGGTGGTGACCTCGTCGTACTGGGGCATGGCCGAAAGCTTCCCGTCGCGGGTGACGGCGTCTATCTCGGCCATGAGCTTGTCGTAGACCGCGCTGTTGGACATGATGTGGAGCATGAGAGCCTGGAACGCGGTCCCGGTGGTGTCGGCGCCCGCGAGGAGGACGAGCAGAATCTCGGCCTTGATGTAGTCAAGCGTCAGGGGCTCGCCGTTCTCATCGCGCGCCTCGATAAATCTGCCGGCAAAGTCAGTACTGGGTAGCATGTTCGGGTGTGCAACGATCGACGTACGTTTGAAGCAGATCGATGCGTCCGCCCGTCGTCCCGGCCTTGATGTCGTCGAATCTCTTGGTGATGAGGCGGTCGCGGAAGCGCATCAGAGTGCCGATTCCCGAGTCTTGTTCAGGGCTGGCGACAAGATACTTGCCCAAAAAGGTGCTTTTGACCCAGTTGGTGAAGGGATAGCAGCGAGCCATGATACCAAAAGGCACGAGACCGTCGTGGAAGCCCTGGATCAGTCCTTCGACGTCCTTCCCCTGCTCCACAAAGCCAAACGGCGCGCCGAACCCGACCTCGGAAATGACATCGTAGGCCATGTAAACCGCCCAGGGCGCAAAGTCGAACTTCTGGCGGGGCTTCGCAAACAAGTCGTCCAGCCTGTCAACCCAGCTCTGGATTCTGTCATCGATCATGGGCTCCATCTTCTTGACGTGGCTGAAGCTGTACGACGAAGCGGCGACCTTGCGGAAGCGCGCATGGACGCTGGCGTCCTGCATGTTGAAGAGGGACTCATCCTTGCCGAAACTGCCCGTGATGTAGTGCTTCGATTTGCTGGCGTTGCGGCTGTAAATCTGGGGGAGCTTCGTCGCGTCGCTGACGAGGAGCATCGTCGGTGTGATGCGGATGACGGGACCTGGCAATCACATCAGTTAGGATTGACGAGCATGAAACGGTCCCGCCCCCAAGTCAGCAATTACCATGTTTCTTGTGCAACTCTTGGTATGTGGCACACTCATCCTCCTTCACGTTGTGATAGGTGATCCATAGCCTGGTGACGCTGCCCCAGAACGAGCCGGGGAACTTGGCGAGCGGGTGGAAGAAGCGGTAGTGAACCACTTGATACACAACATTGAAGGCGACATAAGCCACAATCAGCAGCGTCAAGCTGCTGAAGCTGAGCAAGGCCATTCTCGTTGACTGACTCAAACTCCTGGGTTGTGCACCGACGGCAGGTGAAGAAGCGTGTGGCTATCCGAGACAGATGCAGGGGACCGCGGACTGATGAACTGCTGGCTGTGCTTCTGAAGAGATGCGAGGACCCTTAGCGATAAATGAACAACCTGAAGGGGTCCAAAGGGATTGCCTCACACCCGGAAAACATCCCACATCTCCTCAAAGCCGATACTGCGGGCGAACTCAGGCATGACCAATGACGAGCTCTTGGTTACAGATGCACCCAAAACTGAGATAGCACCTGTCGCATCGCGCGGGTGCGCATTGCTGTATGCAGACGAGACGGCATTAGTGACTAGAGTCAGCACAAAACGGACATGGTTTCCTGCATGATACCCCATCTGATACCTCTCGACCTCAGTCGCTGCGACGGGGTCGATCTCTGCCATAAGACGACAAGTGCCCGGCATAGAGCGGGCGTGGTGGACCCAAGGGGCATCTGCTCCATTAGTTGGTTCAGTTCAAAACTGACAATGGAGATCGTCCTAATATAACCCAATCACTGACACCTTTCCGCCGACGCCTCTCCCGGTCAATCCCCCGGCTCACGACTCGCTGTTGCTACGAAAATGGGGGCACATGCAATGGAACCTTACGCGGACGGCTGTGCACGCCGATCGGAGGATTGAACACGAAGCGTGAGGCGGGGCCCAAAACTCCACTCGCGTCTGCTGCATTGAAGCTTTGGCCTATTACTGATCAACTCGATGCTGAAGAATTTCTGACATCTGCAGGTCCTGCGGCAGCCAAGAGTCCCGAAGCCTTGCTGGCCCTTCCAAGTCCCCGTAGACTGAGAATGACTTGACGTGCTGCCTGGCTGCGGAAAGGCCCTTTCTTGTGGAGAGACTTCATGGATGTTGACGTATCATGAGTGACGGTTGGTTATTTCAACGTCGAGCATGGGTGGCTACGGTTGACATCCTCCACTCCACACCCCTGACTTGAAGCGGAAGCGCTAGATTTGTCTCCCCGGACCTGACAGGCAGCAGTAGTGCGGAAAGACTGAACGGCGGGCGTCATCCTTCCTCTTGCTGACTTTGCCAGGCGTGACGGCGCCAAAGATCGAGGCTGGGCTCGCTCAAAGTGCTGCTCCGTGTACTTTGAGTCATCACTTTTCAGCAGTTCCCTGAGCTGGCGCCAAGGACCGTGGCGAAGGACGGGCATGCGAGCCCCTGATCCGCTCTTTCAGCATCCTCACGGGTTCATGGTGGTGATTTTTTTGGTTCCACGGCGGACCCAAGGCGCGCAAGAGTAGGTCATCACCGCTTTGATCCTTTCGGCTCAATCCTGCCCAGCAGCGAAGATTGGGCCAAAACTTTCCCAACGACTAATTTGGCAGAACATAACTCCATGCGAGTTGACGTCGGCAGCGTGATGTCATTATCTTTCGACTCAAAGAGCGTGAGCCGCATGGAATCTACTGCCATGTTGCAGGGGCTCCCTCTCTCGGCTGCCAAACGCGGCAAATCTTGATCAAGAAAATGAATGCAGGCCAAGCGGTCGTCCACACAGATGCTGACGCAAATTCTGCGAACTTTTTCCGTTGAAACAGCTCCCTCACCGCTGACAGTCAAGTTTCTTTCGGCACTTACCTTGTTGTTCACCGTCTCTTAAGACACTTCAAAATCTGTTCAGAATTGCCAAAACGACAGTGCCTGATCGACTGGGCCCAACCGAAAAGAGGATTTTGAACGTTCATCCTTACTTTTGTGGGAATCAATGTCACTATATGCAACAGGTCCATGCTGCTGGGCCTCCTTTGGTCCAGGAACAGGAAGCTGCATCAACTAGGCAGATTCAGACAAATTGAAGTTGGACCCCTTCAACGAACTAAACCCTCATGGCTAACGTACTAAGCTCTCATGGCTAACGTACTAAGCTCTCATGTTTCACGTACTAAGCTCTCATGTTTGAACAATAAAATTAATATAAATCAGCAACTTAAATAGCCTCTAAGGTTTTAAGTTTTATAAGAAAAAAAAGAATATATAAGGCTTTTAAAGCTTTTAAGGTTTCACCAAATCTCTGACATGTCATTCTTGAGAGTAGGGCTGGGTCTGTGCATCCAACGTCTGCTCGTGTGCGTGCTCTCATGGTGTGGCGAGGCCGAGAGGCGCTCGAGGACACCCGTATTGCAGTGTAGTCTGATGTTTGGAACAAACTTGCCGAGATCGTCTCCTTCCATGGGCATTGGTTCCGGTTTGCATGTAACCTCCTTTCCGAGTAATGCAGGTGCTGGCCCAAGAAACTGTAACACATCTGACATGAGGCTCTGTTGTTCGGGGATTTAACTCATGCAACCCCTCTCTCCACGTCGGATGTCGGTTGACAGTCGTGGTGCATATTGTATTGATATATTGACGCATTCCCGGTTTCGCTACCTCTGCCTCTGGCGTTCTAGCACACGCTCTTTTCATTTCATAAGTAATTTCTGACAACGGTTACACGGTAGTGTGGTCTGGTCGCCATGTCTGAGACGCAGGGCCCGACTGTCATTGCAGTCGCCGCTGTTTTTGCTGTTTTACTCTTCTTTACCCTCATTTTGAGGATATATGCCAGAGTAGCTGTCGTCAAGTCCGTTGGGCCAGATGACTGTAAGACTTCCATACTCCTCTGCAAGAAAATTGCTGACGCTGTTGTTCAGACCTCATCATAGTTGCTGCCGTAAGAAGCCCAACCTCCCGCCTTTGCAATATCAGGTTTCTCACCACAACAGCTTCTATCTTGGGCTTTCATTGCTTGTGTCATCAAGTGTAAGTTACCAGAAACCAAGGGATGGACGCAAACATGCTGAGAGAACCTAGCCGTGGAACATGGCCTCGGTAGCCACTATCCAGAGGTTATAGCCCGCGGAACCGAAAACTTCATCACCTATCTGCAGGTAGTATGGCTTTCCTCCATCTTTTACAACGCCTGTCTCGGCTTCATCAAGATTTCGGTCCTCGCTCTCTACATGCGCCTCGGCGATCGAAAGCTTCGCCGTGTCGCCATGGTTATGGTTGGTGTCATATGTTGCCAGGCTGGCGCCAACGTCCTGGCTTGCATTTTCCAATGCGCGCCCGTGAGCGCAGCCTACGACGTCCGCATCCTGCCCACAGACAAGAAGTGTATCGACATCAACGCCTTCTATCTTGCCAATGCCGCGGTCAACATTTTTACCGACATTCTAACCTACACGCTCCCGATTCCCTTGGTTGTCAAGCTGCAGATCCCTCGTCAGCAGAAGATTGGTCTGGCCGTTATCCTAGGCCTAGGTCTCTTGTATGTACATCAAAGGCCTGATGGCGCCCGCGGCGATACTGACGTTGATGTGTACAGTGCTTGCGTGTCCTCCATCATCCGAATTACCTACATTCCCCAGATGCTCGTCTCGGATGACCCCACCTGGGCTATTACGGGCGCGATGTACTGGTCAGTTATCGAAACGAACATTGGTATCCTGGCTGCCTCGATTCCATCCTACAAGGCCATTGCCAAGCGCTACGCCCCTCGCCTTTTGGGAACCTCAAGCAACGGTAGCCACAAGCGTTCTGTTTTCAAGATGATGAAGGGTGGCAGTGGTGGTCCCAGCCAGCACACCGGGGGCGACATGAAGCCGACGAGCACGAAGCCTACTTTCAGCACGTTCGACACACACGCTACGAATGACAACAGCAGCGAGGAGGTTCTCTTCACACCAACGGGGCGGATCGGTGTCAAGACAGAAATCGTTCACCAGTTCGAGGAAGCGGGCAATGGCCAGGATAGCTTCGGAGGTGGGCTCCCTTTGCAAGGTGTGCGACACAGCAGCAAACCCGACTCTGGGTGAGTAATGGTCCAGTTGATTTGAAGTTCTTGCGGGTGGCTGATGTGATCTTTTAGGCTGGGCAGATCGTCAGCGTCGATCCATGGGGGTTCAAGAAGTTCTCGATAAACTTGAGTTCTTGGGTGTGGAGTGTGAGGCCAGGGTCAGAGCACTGATGCTATATGCTATCAGACGCCTCATCCTCTCAGGCAGAGCCGACTGAGTTTGTACTGAATCGGGCGATAAGAAGAAAAACATTGCTCGGTCCCGAGTGCATAGTATGGAGAATGTAACATCGGCGATGTTTTACCAATGAAAGACCATTCCTGTGCCTGATACATCATGGAAAGAAAACCGTCTATGTTTTACGTTAGGGCACCTTCGGCAGTACCCTCAAATTCTTCAGATCTCGTCCAAAACTCGCATTTCTGCAGGTCGCCATGTCCACCGCCTCTACAACAAAGGCACTCCCTACCATACACGATCATTCTGTGATGGAACGCAAAGTTGATGCTGTCAGACAGCTCTGCGTCCAGGTCCGCCCGTGTGGCACTGGCATCAGCACATTGCAGCCATTAGCACTACATGCAATAGCGGTGCGTATCAACAACGAATCGGTTACTCTGGAGACAAACACTCAACAGGCAATGTGCGCATCTCGACCCATTCCCCGGTACTTCATCATCTCCTTGATATATCCAAGTTACTCATGTTCAAGAGGTGCTGCAGATCCCAGTTTCCGTGCCGTACCTTGACATCGCACAGGAGGGTCATGAGGAGCTTGGTTTTGCGACTCTGCGCGCCTCCCGGCCTCAAGACGTTCTGCAGCTGTTCGATTCCGCCCTGCTTGATGCGCTCCTAGGCAGATAACGAGCCATAAATAATTGCCATACTGACCATGCTTGCCGTGGCCGGTTGGCATTGGCCCAGTTGATGGCCTGGCTTAGGGCAGCGACTACCATAGCGTCTATTGCCTTGTCGTACTTAGTGGCAACGACAAAGCCATCCATTTTGGCAAAGTTCTCCAAAGTCTCAGCCCCGTGGGAATTGTCAAGAATATGATAAGCCAGCCAGCACCGTCGTGGGTCGAGCGCGGCGAAATCTAGAAAGGAGGTTGTGACGGGGCGTTCGAGGTTTCTTATTGGTCCGTTAGCCTTGGAATTGATTCGAGGTTTCGGATCCTTCCAAACATGTCCTGTTGAAGAATGCGGCCGCGGCCGCTTTTATCGCGGACGCAGTGGTCAAGGTGAGCACGCTGGCCAAGGCAGCAATACTCCTTGTGGACCGTGTGACTGGGAACATGGGGTAGATGGCTCAAGGTTGTGCGACACGTAAATATGACTGAAGAAGTATGGTTTAATCAACAGAGGCCTGTATGTTGTCCCTTTTGAACACACACTTATCGCAGGAACAATCGTTTTATTGACGGATTCCGGAACCTCGGTCTCGGGCCCTTCCTAGCGTTGCCCACACTGTCGATCG